CCCCACCCCACCCCCCCACCCCACCCACCCCACCCCCCACCCCACCCCACCCCACCCCACCCACCCCACCCACCCACCCACCCACCCCACCCCACCCACCCCACCCCACCCCACCCACCCCACCCACCCCACCCACCCACCCACCCACCACCCACCCCACCCCACCCACCCACCCACCCCACCCCCACCCACCCCACCCCACCCACCCACCCACCCACCCCCACCCCACCCACCCACCCCACCCACCCACCCACCCCACCCACCCACCCCACCCCACCCACCCACCCCACCCCACCCCACGCACCCCACCCCACGCACCCCACCCCATGCACCCCACCCACCCCACCCCACGCACCCCACCCCACGCACCCCACCCCACGCACCCCACCCACCCCACCCCACGCACCCGACCCCACCCCACGCACCCCCCCACCCCCATGCACCCCACCCCACCCACCCCACCCCACGCACCCCACCCACCCCACCCCACGCACCCCACCCACCCCACCCCACGCACCCCACGCACCCCACCCCATCCCACCCACCCCACCCCACGCACCCCACCCCAAGCACCCCACCCCATCCACCCCACCCCAACCCCACCCACCCCACCCCATGCACCCCACCCCACCCACCCCACCCCATGCACCCCACCCCATGCACCCCACCCCACCCACCCCACCCACCCCACCCCATGCACCCCACCCCACCCACCCACCCCACGCACACCACCCCATCCACCCCACGCCACCCACCCCAAAACCACCCACCCCACCCCACGCACCCCGCCCCACCCACCCCACCCACCCCACCCCACCCCACCCCATGCACCCCACCCCATGCACCCCACCTCACCCACCCAACCACACCCACCCCACCCCACGCTGGCTGAAAAAGAAGTTAATGCCTTGGTAGGCCTTGCCCGGTGAGGATGTGGATGGTTAAATGTTTTTGTTTGTATTGTTTTTGGGTGATTGATTTTCCTTCCTTGTACTTTGCGCTCCTCCGCCTTCGGTGTAGTTGGAGTCTGCGTGTCTCTCTCTCATCATCGTCACGGTGGCTAGGAGACGTCAACTACCTCGCCTGGTATTCAGGAGGTCGTGTGTTCGATCCCGACCCTGACGACGCCTGCTGTTTATTTGGAGTTTGCGTGCCTCTCTCTCGCCACGGTCGCGCGTGGATTTTTCCTCCGGTTCTCCCCGTGCGCGTTCAAGAATCGACGTCACGCGTTCAGAGCGCTTGGCTGCAGTGAATGTCCACTTGGCGCCACTCCGCTGAGCGATCAGCTGCGATGGCCAGGTCGCCGCTGACAGAAGAGCCGTGAAGCAGCTCGTTCGGGGCCTTTCACTTCGTTAGGATGAAATGAAAGTTTCGATACTTTTAGTTGACAAAAATTCAGTGATTCATATTGTTGGTTCTTTCGGTAAATTCACCACGTAGAAGGGAAACAATAAAATAATAAAGTATATATATATAAAACAATACAATTCTCACGACGTTTCGACTGCAGCACAAGCAGTCATCATCAGGTGTGAAAACCAACGGCAAGAAACGTTTGAAAGAAGTGGCGGTTTGTGTTTATTTATTTATTTTTAAACGTTAGCGCCACGGAGAGCGGATTTGACCGTTTGTTTAGATGGACGAGTCCATCCGTGTTCGGAAAAGAACCGAGAATATGAACCACTGCAGTCACGAAAACTTTAAATCAAAAACATTCAGTGTCGGCGGTGGCTCTGTGCGCGGAGACGGTCGTCATAGCCCCCCCCCCCCCCCCACCCTCCCACCCCCCCCCCCCACCCGCTCACTACCCCCCCACTGAACCACTCAATCAGTCACCGGACTGCCTTGTTCTCCCGCACGTTGCGTGCGCTCGTCATTGCCATCGCCCACCCCCGTTTAAGCGTTCACAAGGCCTCACTTTGGCGGCCGTTGATAACATAATGTGCCCGACGCGTGAAGTGCCGCAGTCGCGACGCTGGAGGTAATCACACGCCAACAACGTCCGCGTACTTTGCGGCCGCGTTAGCCCTCGGCCACGGCGGGCGGATATTACAGCTGGCGAGTGCCGGGGGGGGGGGGGGGGGGGGGGGAGACAAAGGCGGCCGGGCTACGACAAGGGTTGTCAGTTGCTCGCCGACAACCCTTGGCCCCGACGGGGCTGTCGAGGGGGATCTTTGTGCTTTCGCGCGGCGTGAGAATCCCGCGGGCGCGCCGGTTGGGCGGCGTGGAATGTTCGATTCCCCCGCTCACCGCCACTTCACCAGGCCCCGGTGATGTGGCCTAACGCTCTCTCCCTCGCTCTCTCTCGCGTTGTCCCCGACCGCCCGCCCGCCCGCAGCTCCGGACGCCGGGAGCGCGCCGCGCGAGACGGACGCCCAGCCGAAGCGCCGCGGCGTTCCGGGCGTCTTCCACTTCCCTCCGGAAAAACCACGGCGCCGGCGAGCGCCGTTTCGGCGTCGGCGGCGGCGTCGGTGGCGGCGGCGGCGGCGTCGGCCGCGTCCCCGACCGCGGAGAGCCGCGCCCTGCCGCTCACGACCTGCCGCCGCGCTTCCAGCGGGAGAGGCGGCCGCCGGCGGACGTCCGACACTGGGCGGGCGAGGGGCGGGGGATGCAGCAGCCGCAGCAGCCGCAGCAGCAGCAACAGCAGCAGCAGCAGCAGCAGCCGCAGCAGCAGCAACAGCAGCAGCAGCAGCAGCAGCGTGGCCGTCCCGGCAGCACCGAGGAGGAGCGAGGGCAGAGCCCGCGGAGGAGGCGGCCTCCCCGCGGGGCCGACGACGGCGACGACGGCGACGACGGCGACAGGAGGCGCGTACCACGTGCCACGTGCCACGTGCCACGTGTCACGTGCCACGTGTCACGTACCACGTGTCACGTACCACGTGCCACGTGCCACGTGCCACGTGCCACGTACCACGTGCCACGTACCACATACCACGTACCACATACCACGTGCCATGTACCACGTGCCATGTACCACGTGCCATGTACCACGTGCCACGTACCACGTGTCACGTACCACGTGCCACGTACCACATACCACGTACCACATACCACGTGCCATGTACCACGTGCCATGTACCACGTGCCATGTACCACGTGCCACGTACCACGTCCTTCGTGCCACGCACCGCGTCCGGCTCACGACAACGCACGGACACTTCGACCGAACTTAAACTTAATTTTGTTTTTATCTCACCGGCCAAGGGCCCCCCGCTGAGCTGCAACAACGGATGTCTTTCAGGAAGCGAACTGGCAAACCACGAAAGATAGCTCAACGTGCGGACGCTCGCAGGGGCCAAATAAATACTCGCACGTTAATTCGGACGACGCGTGACGCCGATTCTAAATGCGGAGGGAAAAACCGGAGGACCCGGAGACACAATCCCCCCGCGACCGCGGAGAGAGAGAGAGAGACACGCAGACTCCAAATATACAGCAGCAGCAGCAGACGTCAGTGTCGGGGTCAAACCCACGACCTCCTGTGTACCAGGCGAGGGAGATGACATCTCACCGCTGCTTCCCTGCGTAACAAACATGAAGACAAAGATCCCCCATGTAACCAAAACAGGCTGTAGGGGCGAGTGCTGTTAGCGAGTAGCACCCTGTGAAGGCCGGCACGGCACACGAGGGGGTGGGTGGCCACCACCACGCGCGACCGACCGCCTTTGTCTCACCAGTGGCGATGTTTATACATCGTACCGGGTACTCATTGTACCGGGTACTCATTTTAGGCTGAGTCGACCTAGGGGAGACCCAGGGACCGGCTCGAATGATCGTCACTGGTGTTGGCCGTGAACGGGAATTGAACTCTGGTCACCGGGTTCGTAGCGCAGCGACACACACAGACACACACACAGACACACACACACAGACACACACACACACTCACAGACACACACACACACTCACAGACACACACACACAGACACACACACACAGACACACACACAGACACACACACAGACACACACACACACAGACACACACACAGACACACACACAGACACACACCACTCGCGCGCGCCCTGACATATGCACACTTAACATGCAAGGGCGCTTCGCACACAAATGAGATTTAAAAAAAAAACTGAAGCCCCTTTTTTTTCCCATCAATGAACGCCAGCGCTAAAGTGGCCGAACCCGTTGAGGATGTTCATTTTATTTAGCTTCGTGTTTGATTTTCTGTCTCCCGGAAGGGCTTTGCGCGAAAACGCTCACCCACAAACACACAAATCTAGAATTGTACGCTCACCCACAAACACACAAATCTAGAATTGTACGTGTACTTGTGCCGCGGCTCACGCTGACGAAGGCCGGCGACCCGAGTTCGACTCGCGGCCAACGCCGGTGACGATCATTCGGAACCGGTCCCTGGGCCTCCCCTGGGTCGACTCGGCCTCAAACTCGCACCCGGCGCGGTGCCACCCCGCCCCCTCGTGCCGGCCTACGTGGGCGTCCGCCGCTCGCTAGCAGCGCTCGCCCCGACGGCCCGTTGAAAGGTCTTCTTGTAACGTGGCGACGCTTGGCCCTCCCCGCAGGCAGAGCGCGAGGCAGCCGCTGTGGGGTGCTGGAGAGGAGGAGCGGCCCGGCTGGGGTGGGGCCCAGTTGGACAGAGGCCACAGGAGCGGCAAGGTGACCTCCTCCGTGTGTGAGCGCGTGTGTGAGTGTGAGCGTGTGTGAGCGAGCGTGTGTGTGAGTGTGAGCGTGTGTGAGCGTGTGTGTGAGTGTGAGCGTGTGTGTGAGTGTGAGCGTGTGTGTGAGTGTGAGCGTGTGTGAGCGCGTGTGTGTGAGCGTGTGTGAGCGTGTGTGTGAGCGTGTGTGTGAGCGTGTGAGCGCGTGTGTGAGCGTGTGTGTGTGAGCGTGTGTGTGAGCGTGTGTGAGCGTGTGTGAGCGCGTGTGTGAGCGCGTGTGAGCGTGTGTGAGCGCGTGTGTGAGCGCGTGTGAGCGCGTGTGTGTGAGCGTGTGAGCGCGTGTGTGAGCGCGTGTGTGAGCGCGTGTGTGAGCGTGTGTGTGAGCGTGTGTGTGAGCGTGTGTGAGCGCGTGTGTGAGCGCGTGTGTGAGCGTGTGTGAGTGTGTGTGAGCGTGTGTGTGAGCGTGTGTGAGCGTGTGTGAGCGTGTGTGTGAGCGTGTGTGTGAGCGCGTGTGAGCGTGTGTGAGCGTGTGTGTGAGCGTGTGTGGGCGTGTGTGAGCGTGTGTGGGCGTGTGTGAGCGTGTGTGGGCGTGTGTGAGCGTGTGTGAGCGTGTGTGTGGCCGGGTAACGTTGGGAGCGATGATGCAGCGACGCGTGCGGTGATACCCGTGGCCCCGCATGACCCCCCTCCGCGTGACCCTGAATGACCCCCCGTGACCACGAGTGACCCCGCGTGACCCCACATGACACCCCCCCCCGTGTGACCTCGCGTGCGCGCGTGGCCAACCACGCTAATCGGAGGCCGCGTGACCCCCGCGTGACCCCCGCGTGACCCCCGCGTGACCCCAGGGACCCTCCGTGGGGCCGAGCGACGACTTCCCCGCCCTCTGGCACAACGGAGCGGTGGGGCGCGGCGGCGGCGCCGCCGCCGTCGCCCGCCCCCCCCCGGCAACCCCGGGGCCCCCCCCCCCCCGCGGTGGAACCGGGGCCCGCCAGGGCCAGGCGCACAGGCCCCATCAAGCCCCCGGGTCCTCGTCCACAGGGGCAGCACTTCCACACCGGTGAGGGCCGCGGGTGGCGAGCGTGGCGCTTGGGCGGTCCCGGGCCTCCCCCAGGTCGACAAGGCCTCGGATTAGTGCCCATTGTGGTGGTGTGTGAACATCGCACGCTGCGGGGGAGACAAAGGCGGCCGGGCGTGGTGCCGGCCTCCGTAGGTTCTGCTTAGCGAACAGCGCTTGCCCCGACAGTCCGTGGAGGCTGCTGCGGGGGATCTTTGTCTATTTTTTGCGCGAGGAGTGGTGGCGCAACGATTAGCACATTCCCATACGAATCCAACCACCTGAGCCGGGCCACCCAGCCACGGCTGACATCAGCGGCGAGCGATTCCCTGGACCCGGTCCCGGACCTCTCCTCGGTTGACTCGGCCTGGGCACCATCGATTTGGGCGTGAAAACCGTCGCCCGGTTAAAACCGGTAACCAAAATATGATTTTAGCGGCTTCCGTTCCTCGGTTTAAAACACACGAAAAAAGAAAGCGCATTTCGGCCGTGTTTCAAGTTACGGTTCACCAACTGTGACAAAACTAAAATAAAAAAAGCAACGTTTATTCACGGTTAATGTTTATTTTTTTTATTTTTTTTCTCCGGTTCGGTCCAGCTGCCCGCTTCGAACGTCACAGCCCCACGTTCCGTGCCGCGTTTGACCCCAGGCCCCGCGTTTGACCCCAGGCCCCGCGTTTGACCCCAGGCCCGCGTTTGACCCCAGGCCCGCGTTTGACCCCAGGCCCGCGTTTGACCCCGCGGTGACGTCTCGGATGCCCGGGACGGGATGAACCGCGGGACCCGTGGGCGCGGGGCGGGGGAGGCGTGCGGCGGCTCGTGGTATAGCTTTGGCAAACGGCGGCCTGGCCGGGTCACGTACCCTAGCAAGCCCAAACAACTCGTGGGGCTTGGGGCAGAGATGTGACAGGGAGGGCACCGGGAAAAGAAGACGGACTGCTGTGACACAGGAGGACGTGGACGCCAAGTGGGCTCATCGTAGCGATGGTGTTTCGCTATTTTTACCGCTCCGGGTGAAAGTCGCCCTCGGGGCTCGATGGCCGGGCGCTCGGAAGCAGCCCGCCGCCCTGTGGCAAGGAGCGGGGGCAGAGGAGCTACTGCTCGCCACGGCGGGCAGGGCCACGGTAAAATACCGTGAGACGTTGGCTCGCGAGCGTAATTCGTTCCGGAAACGCGTTTGTAATCCAAAGCACTCGTTACGTCAGTTGTGGGCACGTGACTCTCGGCAGTACAAAGCGTGTACCGTACGTAAACACTGCTCGTATTGCTGAGACCCTCGCTCGTTTACCGAGTTGATATTTATTTTAAATGTTTTGCTCGCGATCCGAGGTTTTACTGTATATCGAGACGAAGTTTCGCTGGGTCAGCTTAGCGCAAATGCGACCGTCTCGTTAGACCCGACTCCCCCCGACCCGACACGGGCAATTAGTAGTGTGCGTCGCGTCGTGAACAAAGCGCGTCAATTAGAAACGCGCGTGCGTGCGTGTGTGTATGTATGTTGAATTTTTGCACGGTGCGTGGCCGACCGGGCTAATCGGAGGTGCTGTGCATCACGGGGTGAATGGGAGTGCGTGTGTGAGTGTTTGGGGAAGTGGGCGAGTGAGTGAGTGAGTGGGTGGGTTTGGGAGTGTGTTGTTGTGACCTGCAGTGTGATGAGTGGGTGAGTGAGTGGGTGGGTTTGGGAGTGTGTTGTTGTGACCTGCAGTGTGATGAGTGGGTGAGTGTGTGGGTGAGAGGGTGAGTGCGAGGTTGCGAGAGTGGGTGAGTGTGTCTGTGTGTGCGTGCGTGTCTGCGGTAGTGTAGCGGTTAGCGCGCTGCGCTATGAACCCGGCGACCCGGGTCCGATTCCCGCTCACGGCCAACACCAGTGACGATTATCTGAACCGGTCCCGGGCCTCCCCTAGGTCGACTCGGCCTCAAATGAGTACCTGGTGCGGTGTGTAGTAAACATCGCCACTGGGGAGCCAAAGGCGGTCGGGCGTGGTGCTGACCACCCACCCCCTCGTGTGCCCTTCCGGCCTTCATAGGGTGCTCGCTAACACCACTTGCCCCTACAGTCTGTTACAGGCTACACGGGGGATCTTTGTTTTGTAACGAGTAGGCGACCTCGCTGGGCGTGCATCGCGTGGACACGGTCGGGAAGGACAACAAACTAAACCCTCGGTCATCATCGCCATTCACATCGTAGCTCGGCCACTATGTGAATGGGGGGAGGGGAGAGGGGGCGCGGCCTTACACCTTGCCAAATAAAAACACAAATTATTTTATTTCGTAGCTTTCGTTTCACCTCCCTTCCCGAGAGCTGGCGTGCGCCGGCGACATGGGCCTGCGTCCGTTCACCACCCCCCCCCACCATCACCCACCCACCAACCCCCCTCCCCACTCACCCCCCCCCCCCTCCCGTGCCTTTGTAAAGGTGGAGAGGGGTCCCGGCAGCGCCACGCTTCCCAGCGCGCCCTTTAATTGCCGACTTTGCTCCGCGTGACTCCTCGACTTTAATAAGCGCCGGACCCCCCTCCCCCCCCCTTGCCCCCCACCACCCCTTGCCCCTCCCCTCCCCTCTCCTCCTTCCCCCCCCCCGCCCCCCCCCCCGTCCTCCGCCCCCCTGCTTGTCCCTCGTCAATGACACTGTGGCCGACTTTGAAGGGAGAGAAATTCAAGACGGGGGGGTGGGGGGGGGTTGGTGGGGGGGGGGGGAGGTCCCCCCCACCTTGATATTTCAATATTGAGATATAAATACATTAATGCGTTAATAATTCCGAGCGCAAGGATGTAGCTCAAGTCACTTGGGCGCTGCGCTCGAAATTGTAAGGGCCGCCAGGGTTCAAATCACGTCCTAGGTTGACTCGTAACTCGCGGTCGTCAGCAGCCTCATCATCAGCCTCATCATCAGCACCATCAGCGTCATCATCAGCACCATCAGCGTCATCATCAGCATATTCATCAGCGTCATCATCAGCACCATCAGCGTCATCATCAGCATCATCATCAGTCTCATCATCAGCACCATCACCGTCATCATCAGCATCATCATCAGTGTCATCATCAGCACCATCAGCAGCGTCGTCATCAGCACCATCAGCGTCGTCATCAGCACCATCAGCGTCGTCATCAGCATCATCATCAGCACCATCAGCGTCATCATCAGCACCATCAGCGTCATCATCAGCACCATCAGCGTCATCATCAGCACCATCAGCGTCGTCATCAGCACCATCAGCGTCGTCATCAGCACCATCAGCGTCATCATCAGCACCATCAGCGTCGTCATCAGCATCATCATCAGCACCATCAGCGTCGTCATCAGCACCATCAGCGTCGTCATCAGCACCATCAGCGTCGTCATCAGCACCATCAGCGTCGTCATCAGCACCATCAGCGTCGTCATCAGCACCATCAGCGTCGTCATCAGCATCATCAGCACCATCAGCGTCGTCATCAGCCCCATCATCGTCATCATCAGCACCATCAGCGTCGTCATCAGCACCATCAGCACCATCGGCACCACCACCACCACCACCGTTCTTCATCGTCACCGACCGCCAGCAGCGAATCGCCACCGTTATCCCACCGTGCGTTTGCTCGCCCACCGGCTACATCGGAGGCAACGAAACGGTGCGCAGCGGGCGTTTGTTTACGGTAATGGTTCACGGCGAAGAGATGCGCGCGCATTAGAGCGACGTGGGGACTCTCTGTACCACCTCGCCGAGTGCTTCTCCCGCGCTCTCCGCTCTAAATGCCGCACGTCGCTGTAAACGCGAGAGCGTCAAGAGGCTGAAACAAATGGACGGTGCTTATCGTGAGTGGCGGGTGAGCGTGAGAGAGAACGGCAGGCAGGCAGGCAGGCAGGCAGGCAGGCAGGCAGGCAGGCAGGCAGGCAGGCAGGCAGGCAGGCAGGCAGGCAGGCAGGCAGGCAGGCAGGCAGGCAGGCAGGCAGGCAGGCAGGCAGGCAGGCAGGCAGGCAGGCAGGCGCTCACCACGAGGCCTCGGTCAGTGGCACCAGCGTCTGTCGGTGCGAAAGCCACCTCCTCATCATCCTCATCATCCTCCTCATCAGCCTCCTTTTCATCATCCTCCTCATCAGCCTTCTCCTCATCATCCTCCTCATCATCCTCCTCATCATCCTCCTCATCATCCTCCTTATCATCCTCCTCCTCCTCCTCCTCCTCATCATCCTCCTCATCAGCCTCCTCCTCATCATCCTCATCATCCTCCTCCATGTCCACCCCCTTCTCTCTCACCTCTGTCCACCTCACCGCGTGTTCCTCGCCCCCTCACCGTGTGGAAACAAAAGAGCTTCACGGCTCATCGGATCCCTCCAGTGTCAACAAAGTTTCTGATTTTATTCACGTTGGCTGCTCCCGTGGCGAGTGTCCATCCTCCCCCCCCGCCACCCCCTCTCCCTCTCCCCTCTGCGTGCGTATGTTTTCCATACGTCTGTGTTTGTTGTACACGCGTGCTTGTAGCACGTGTGATTGTTGCACGGTACGTGCGTTGAACTTCTTTCGCACCGTACGTAGCCACCCGCGCTGATCGGAGGTGCGCGGGCAAGGTGCAGGAAACTAAAAACACGAAAAGAGCACTTCTGAAGGGGCGAGTTTTGTCAACCTGGATGATGATTTAAGCGCGGGCAGCTTCTCAGCGGCTTCCCAATATCGGGAAGGGGAAGAGCGTTCCAGACGGCCGCAGAAGCAGCGCATCTGAATAGCGCGCGGCGACGATGATGCGGTGACCACCGCCGTTGTTGGACGGCCGAGCCGAAAGCCGCTGCTGCTGCGGCGAAGACGACCAGAGTTCACGCGATGATGGTTTATAAAGACGGTGATTCATGAAGTTGACCAGAGTTCACATGATGATGGTTTATAAAGACGTTGATTCATGAAGATGATCAGAGTTCACGTGGTGATGGTTTATAAAGACGATGATTCATGAAGATGATCAGAGTTCACGCGATGATGGTTTATAAAGACGATGATTCATGAAGATGACCAGAGTTCACACGG